TAACTTGACACGTCATGAGATCGCTAACCTCTCGCGGCGGGGCCAGCATCTGCACGTTGTGGCGAGGAGGGTGGAACGCGGAGAAAATTGCGAGACGAAGGGAAACGACAGGACGAACTGAAAATAATGGGGAAAAAAAGAAATGAGGAAGAGCCATACGGCACGGTGAAAAAGTGTGACAAGGCAAACACACGCTTCTCTTCGCACGCAACATGGACAACAGAGAGTCTTGAAAGTTGTTACTTACTCTACCGTAATAAAGAAATCCAGCCAAGTAATAAATGTGTATTACGTAGCCAGTTTAACGGTGATTTGCCTGAAACAGTACAACGTCTGTTACGAGGAGCGAGCGGTGCACTTCGGGGGTCGAGATCTAATTAAATTAACGTGGAGCGGAATTAACGCCCCACATTACCACAAGGCACACAACTCTCCTTACCGGTAACGCAAAGTGAAATGAGACGGGACGGGGGCCCATCCTCATCGGATAACCCAAAGTTACCATCACGATCCCCTGATAGGTTTGTGTCACGACGAGATACCAATGTTGCGGTCGCAAATTACTACGTGTCGCATGCCGAATTCATCCTGCCATCCGATACCCTCGTTACGACGCTCTGCAACCAATCAGAAAAATCGTATCATCGATACGAAGCAAAATCCTGTTTTCTGGGGATCTATTCCTGGAAAAGAAACGTATACGAAAAACTAGGAAAATGCTATAGTATACTGTAACGTATACTGTAGTGTTTCCTTAGACTTTCGTATACGTTTCTTTTCAAGAATAGACCCACTGATTGGTTGCAGAGTCATCGTATGACGCACATCGGATGTAGTGACCCTCTAATAAGAGTCTGGACACGTGAAGTCCGCCATTATTCGTCGAAATTGTGCGAGAGAGAAAAAATCATGCTATCTCATTCTAGTGGCGCTGTAAGTTGTAGCTGATTGTAGCTCTACAAACTTCATAGTTTCTGTTTCTGTTTCGTCTCGCCTCATGCATCGTATCATTTTTAAGACCAGGACCATTAATATTCGAAGAAGAAGAAGAATCATTATGATTAATATTATTATATTATTATATTATATTATTATATTATTATATTATTATTATATTATTATTATATTATTATTATTTATTATTATTAATTATTATTATTATTATTATTATTAATATTATTATATTATTATGATTAATATTATTATTTATATTATTTTTATTATGCGTTAAAGGAATATATGTTTACATTTTTGTTATATATGTTAAATATAATAATTACAAAAACATTTTTATTAAATATAAATACTGTATATCTAATATACATAAATAATATGAAATATGCATGAAATATTTTTTTCTACATAAATATACTACTTTATTTATTCCCTATTGGTGCTACCTAAGTATTTTTTGTTAAGAATTTTAAAGCATTAATTGTATTATTTGTATTTAAATTTAATTTTTATTAAAGTTTCTTAATCTTGTAATATTTTTATAAATTTTATATATTCTTAATATATTAATTTTTATATTTTCAATCTATTTATAATACTTACTTAATTGTTGTTTTTATTTTATGAAAGACATATTGCAACGTTTTTTTTACATAAAAGTTTTTATAGAAAATATTTAATAATGTTAATATAAGTTAAATAATAATAAAAATAAAAATTGTAATTGATTCTACTTTAATTTTTACGAATTTATTAATTTTTACAGTTTATAAATTTAAAGAAATTTGCGGGAATGGATGATAAATGTCGGACCAATCACAAACCGGGGAGAAGGTGGCCAGACTCTTATTAGAGGGTCACTAATCGGATGCAGTGTGAATCCAGCATAATGTAGTAGCGTTTTCTTTTGGCTGCACCCCAGTTCATCTTTTTTTCCTTTTCCCTTCTCCTGGAGAGAAAAGGAAGAAAGATGAACTAGTGCAAAAGTTCAGCTGAGTGTTGCACTGGTGCAGCCAAGAGAAAACGCTATAGGATTCACACTGCGTCCGACGTCCGATATCCAATAGGAGAGCTCGTTTTCTTGATATATAGCTAACAATATTTTGTAACAAGCTCTGCTATTGGATATCGTACCGTCGTACGTCGGATGTCGTACGTAGAGACCCAATAATAGGGAGTCTGGCCAATGTTCTAGTAAGAAATAAAATGGCGTCCATATATATGGAACACATAAAGGTTAAAGGAGCCTACAGACCAGAGCGGCGCAGCGGTGAAGCGGCGAGCGATAGCCAATGAGAGCCATACTTTTAGGTAAAAGCATGGCTCTCATTCGCTCGCCGCTTTACCGCTGCGCCGCTCTGGTCTGTAGGCTACTTAAGTCCTAAACACAATGCGAAGAAATAGTGATAGCGATAAGTTTCAACTTATCAGACCGGAATACGCATTTTTGATAGGTTGCGCCATATTCTTTCTTAGCCAATGAGAGTGATGACATCTTTGGCCAGACTCCCTATTATAGGGTCCCTAGCCGTACGCAGTGTGAATCCTACATAAGGCTATCTTCGTTTGCAGGGATCGAGAAGACAAAGATAGCCTCAACCACGGTTGCTTTTGGTTGCTATACCAGAGGCACGCCAAAATTCGCCTATAAGGTAAGCATACACATGGACACAAGAAACGAAAAATTCCATAAGAACGAAAGAATTTCTGTACATATGGTCTATGCCCAACCAATCAGAGGACGAAGTTGTTAACCCAACAACCAATCAGTAAACAGAGAAAGAACGATCATATTATTTCTGCCTCTCGCTCTACTCGTCTTTCTACCCCCACCACTATCATCAGCGGTCCATTCTTGGGTGTGTTCAGATTCCCAACCTGACGACCCAGGGTTGAGTTATCTAGAGTTTCGATTCTAACTCGGCTGATTCACTCCGAGTAACAGGTGGCTCTGAACGGTTCGGGTTGTCATTTGGGTTAAAATATGGTGGCAAGGAATAAAAAGAAAGGAAAAAGATGGATTACGAAAAAAATATCATTGTGCTTATGGCCATTAATGTGACTGAACAACTGTTCAGATCAATATTCAGTGAAACATTGGAAAATAGTGATGAAGAGGAAGAGTTGGTCGAGGCATTTTTATTGGAAGCCCATCTAAGGCTACGTGGCCCATTGAGAAAAGCTATACGAATTGAAGGTTATGTAGAAGAGACAGTCCCAAGATTTAATACAAAACAATTCCGTGAACATTATAGAATGTTGCCTAGTACGTTCGAACTGTTAGAAAATCGTCTTCATCCTATTTTGGCAGGGGACCCTATTAATAATGGTTCTTCGGAACTCTTTTTGGTATTCTCAATTTCAAACTTGCCGCTAAAATACGCCGAGTAACTCTTTAACCGATGAAAAATGATGGGTTGAAAAGTCGACTCTAGAGTTAACGCAATTACTCTAACTTAGCGATCTGAACGCAGTCTACCGAGTCAAAAAATAATTACTCAGATACTATCTGAACGGGGTCGGGTAAATATTTCTACTCTGAGTAAGGAATCTGAACACACCCCTTGATGTCGATGGACTTTACCCCGGATCTACAATACGTGTTTTAAGCTGTAAGAAATTAACCAATTACAGTCGAATTCGAGAAGAATACTCGACTATGATTCGTCCATTCCTTAAGACTTAAAACTCTATTGTAGATCTGGGCTTACCCTTTAAGCCGGTTCTACATTAGTTGCAAGCTGATTGCAAGTTCGTTGCGACAGCCAATCTGAAGCGTTGATTTCAAAATGCAAGCTTGAGATTGGCTGTCGCAACGAACTTGCGATCGACTTGCAACTAATGTAGAACCAGCTTTATGGGCCTTCTACAATAAGCCATAAGTCACAAATCATAAGTCATAAGCTAGAAATGGACCAATCACGGTCGTCAATTTTTAGTTTCTTACTTCCGATTTATGACTTATGGCTTATTGTAGAAGGCCCATTAAAACGCGCTAAAGAACAATATTCTGCGATTCCTGAAAGCCAAGATATTAGTTTTTCAAAATCGACAAAATTTTCTGATTTTAAAGTGCTCCCCCCTAATTTTTGTATTTGTAGTGCACATGGAGAGAATTTTTTAAATTATTAATTTCTTAATTTTTATATTTTTACGGTTTTTAACTTCTTTTTGTAGGATCATAAACTGTAAAATTTTCATGAAATTACTGTTATTAACATTTAGCGGATTATTATTATTTTATGTTATATACAATTAATTTTTATACACTGATAATGGTCAAAACTTGATCGAAACGTTTATTTACCTTTGTCTCTCTTTTTTAGACATATGACTTTGCTTATGACATCTTGCATAGTGGCTGTATGCTCATATTTGTGTTTATAAGAAAATTAATTTATTAATATAAATGTCAATTACACTCCTGTGTATTACTGTTATTATGTACACATATTCAACCTAAGTAATAACACGTACTAATTAAAGCTATTGGTTGTTCATATTTAAATAAATACATACATACATATATGTATACACACGCGTGCGTAATACGCATGCATGCACGCATCAATTATAATTATTTTAACATATTCATAATATATATTAATCATTTTAATATAAGTGTTTATTATACATATGTATATATTATTTCCACACTGGTCAGTTTACTTACGCGACATTACTTTTAGTTTTTGTTATTAGACTCAGCTTTAGATAGGTGGGAGAGGTGGGAGCCAAATGGACAGAATAGTTAAAAAAAAATTAAGGAATTAAGTAAGGCTGATGTGACAGAAGTATATATATTGTGTGGAGGCATGAATGAGTTTAAGTTTAAACATTGTAAACCAAGTCCTGTTCTTCGCTGTGTATATATATATATATATATATAAATATGAAGTGAATAAAATATTCTATTCTATTATTTCCACGCTGTAAAAATGTTATAGCTGTAAATTTTAAATCTATGTTATGTCAATAATTTGTACACAACCATGTTAAGGTGATAATCCAAGGAATGAATCTAATACATTGTTATATGTGTATAATATAAAAAAATATATGTGTTCAGACATGTAATACACTCATTTCACATATCATCTCAAACTTCGTAATCAATTAAATACGCGTCCTTTCTGAAAGAGTAACGCGGATTTTGGTAAGGTAATAGCCAAAATATTGGATGGCTCTTTCCATATACCTGAGACAAAAGCTTAAATATTCGTGATACATTCTTACGTTGCTGTGTACCTTTCACACGTTCCACAGCAGTTTCGTCATTTAGGATCGCTTGAAATTGATCAAATAAAATTGCTACAACGAACATACCAAATAACCCCGACTCCAAAACTAACATCACACTATGAAGACTGCAACAGATATCATCATTAGTATTTTAGAGAGTCATCATAAATTTCTCATGAAAATGTAAATACATACATGCGACTCTGTTTGACTGAAATATCATTATTGCACTGTGGACAGTCGTAAATCCAAGATATACTGATTAAGATAATAGTATAGATCGCTAATGCACCAACGTATACTAGAAACTGTATGAAGTACTTTTGATTCCTCTCGCCGACGCAGTTATTGATCCTTAAAAGACATTTAACGAATCTTCAATAAATCCGAGATGAATAGAACGTTAACATTATTTAAACACGAGATTTAATTAAAAAAAATTAGTTATATCTTTTTTTTTTAATATATTGCCATTGTTTTCCACACGGCTCTTAGTTACCATGGACAATGATGATCCATCTTTCTGACACAGCGTTTACAAATTCTACAATGGTGTGCTCTAGGTGGCCTATATGTTTCACATCTAGTGCATACCGTCCAATCGTCCTTCTCGTCACCTTCGTGATTGTCGCTTTCGCTGGAGAGATGAATATCAGAAAAGTCCATTTTATTTTGTGGTAAAGGTACTATACCAGGATCACTGCAGACAGCTTTTAAATGTGCCGTCATCATCAGAAGTACAACAGTATTAAATGCTATTATATGGAACAAACACCATGAACTAAAAACAAGAAAATAATGTTGCTGAATGTATCTCTCGAGAAAAAAGTGTAATAAATTAGAAACTGAAAAATAAAGAAGAAACGTGAGATGTCAAGTAAAAACGTGAAAAACCCAATATTTATAACTCGATGTTAATAAACTGTCAATAATTTTTGTTGACAAACATACATCATACAAACCTATCTTGCATAGTGAGCAACACCGTCCATCCTACCACTACATAGTCAGCGTAGAATACTGCCACATAGGTGCTGATAATACATAAGATACCACAGGGATCTCTGACAAACATTTTTCGTTTTTGCAAACGGCAACGATTAATATCGCAATTCTTTACTGTACAAAAAAGCACATGGGTCGCGTGTCATCTGCTCTTGGGACAGCCGCATTATTAATCCTTCCAGGATTAATCTAGCCAGCAGGTGTTTGTCGGTGATACCGATCAATGAATTAATGCATAATCTGTATAAAACTGTCGTGTTGGCTCGGGCTGACGAGCTTGACGTATGGAGAGAAAGTTTTGACGGAAGTGTGGTAGAATACTTTGTCTTTTCGTTGGATTTGACACATTGGAAAAAATTTCTTGGTAAGTGTTACAATGTACAGAAGACCCCGTCAACCTCGAAGTGGCATAAAAATACATTGAATCGATACGTTTTTCGCGTAGAAATAAAACTTTGATAAGAAAAAAGTGTCGCGAACGGTGGAATCCGTGGAATAGACTTATTAACCATCAAAGTTGACGACTATTCAATGCTACTCAATGCTTTCACATTTTACGTGCCTCTCTATAAGAGAAATGCGATTGGATAATTTTCTTTATGCGTGCGTTTATGCAAGTTGTGTGGATATGATATAGCTTTAGGGTTGGTTTATAATAGCCGTAATCTGTAAAAATTGACCAATCACAGTCAAATGAGAGAAGAATAATCGATTATGATTGGTCAATTCTTATAGATTACGGAAAAAGTTAACAGATTACAGCTATTATAAACCAACCCTTAAGCGGGGAGCACAGACTTTTGCATAACGCATAAAGCATGTGCATAAGGAATTTTATTGGCCCATTTTCTTATGCATGAGTCAATGGACCAATCAAATTCTTTATGTATATGGTTTATGCGTTATGCAAAAGTCTGTGCTCCCCGCTTTAGGGTTGGATTATACTGAAGCCCTCCTTACCTTCTACTTCAACGAAAAGAAATACTTTGATTGGCTGATTCTCTTATGCACTATGTATTATGCGTTATGCAAAAGCTTGTGTTTGGGCTTTAAGCTGGAAACACAATAGGCACAGGTAATAATAGGCACAGCAACAGGGAATAACGAGCCATCCGATCAGAGCTCTGAGATATAAGGGTGCTGTCCCATGATACGGAAATTACACCGGAACGGAACAGTGAGACCAATAAGATCTCTGCAATCATTACTCTACTTTCCTTTCTGCGATTGTGATTGGTCTCACTGTTCCGTTCCGGTGTAATTTACGTATCATAGGACAGCACCCTAAAGGTTGATTTATACTGGCCGTAATTTGTTAACTTATGCCGTAATCTGTAAAAATTGACCAATCACAGTCGAATGAGAGGGGAATAATCGATTATAATTGGTCAATTTTTACAGATTACAGCATAAGTTAACAGATTACGGCCAGTATAATCCAACCTTTAGTTCGATATTATATCCCAGAGCTCTGATTGGACGGATCATTTATAGCGATCGAATATGATTGGTTGGATCTATAAATAATAACCAATTATGTTCAATCGCTCGGCTAGCGTACTTATAGCCGCTTAGCCGTCTTGAACTCGCTAAATTGATGACATCGCGACACATCGCGAAATAAAGTCACTAGATTAATAAATAAAGAGATTAATTAATCTAGGGACTTCATCGCGAAAACCAATGCAACGCCGCCAGCGCCGAAAACTGATTAGATCGCCTCATTGCGTATAGTTTAGTAACGAATCTAGTTACATCGAACCGAAAGCACTATTTTCTAGGGATTAATCTAATTGGGTAAGGGCCACTACTGTCACCAAACTTCGATTAACTAACCGGCCTGGTAACTTTGCAGGCTTCCAACTGAAGTTGATGTCGGAGCTGAGCTCACATTAATACTCCGACATCAGTTTCAGTTGGAAGCCTGCAAAGTTACTGGGCCGGTTAGTTAATCGAAGCTTGGTGACAGTGGCCCTAAAACATCGTGTCAATATTCGATATTTTCCAGAAAAATAATCGATGTCAAAATAATCGAACACGAATCGCCCATCCCTGGTGCTTACCCTTACCACTGCCCACTTGTGCTTGTGCTTCACTTATGTATTTGAGTGTTTGTAAAGATTTTTCAGTATTGCGTGCACGTCACGGATCCCGTTCATATTTGATGTGAAGTGATATCGCATACGTTCCCATTAATTACGGTTCAACGATTCAATCTCCCGTAATACGGCACGTATCGCTTTTTAGCCCGTGTCTCTAACAACTTAAAGTTCGAACAGCGGTTATTCCGTTGTCGAGGTGTGACGTTACAACGGCGATGTCGTTATTCAACAAGCCGAAGCGGAACATACGCCGACGTCCGTTCGACGATGAAGACGAGGATAATGAAAACAGAATGGAGGTGGAGGACGCGCAGCCGATCAAAGTTAAAACGAAGAAAGAGAAACCAAAGCAGACGCGCCTCAGTTTTGGAGAGGAGCTGGAACAAGGTGTTTATACGTATACACATCTTGTATATGTGATATGTGTGTGTGTGTGTGTGTGTGTGTGTGTGTGTGTGTGTGTGTGTGTGTGTGTGTGTGTGTGTGTGTGTGTGTGTGTAATTAGTGCGTACATGAATAACCTGTTTTACATACACTCGATATACAGGATGCTTTCTAATAACATTAGGTATATTTTTTATTCTTGCACTAGACTGCACTAGAACTCTCTCGCTTTTGTTAAATATTAAACATATATACCTGTTACTTTGAGTTTCGAAAGTACTATACTAGTTTAGCTACAGAAAGTAGACTTGGGCTGAGTTCAGAAATGTTATCTAGATAATGCTCCTATATATTATCTTATCCTTGTTTAACAATGGATGAACGACAAAGACAAATTGATATACAGAGACACCATATTTCTAAATACAGGCCTGATGTAACACAAGGTTTGTTCCCATCATGTGCTCCAACATGTTCATACTGTAATTCTTATTTCTGTGTACTCGTTGGAGTCAATAAGATCTGTGATGAGAATGGTTACGTTCAGCAGACTCAGGCCTGGTTGCACCAACATTACTTGATTTTAAGCGAAACTTGAAACTCTATCTATCTTGTATTAAAGCCGAAAGAGACAGAGACAGTTTAAGTCTCGCTTAAAATTGAAATCACGTTGGTGCGATCGAGCCTTAACAGGTTTACAACTGTTTTATGATTCTTCGCTGAGATAGGACTATTCCTTTAGATCTAAAAGTATCCAATCAGCGAGACGAATCATAAAACGGTTACAAAACTGTTGAGTCTGCTGAACGCAGCCATTATGTTAGAGCATGAGATGTGAACAAACATACAATGAATTGTTTCATCTTTGCTCAACATTGACAAATAACAAAAGAAGCCTGTCCTTTTTGTAAACCTCAGATTGAACTTCTTGTATGGTTTATCTTCTTTTTTTATTACATTAGAGAGAAAAAAGATAATGCAAGAAATTTAGTTCTGGAGTATGAAAAAAGAACAGGCGTAAAGATATTATGGTTTATTATGTTACATCTGTGTTCATCTGTTTATTGCTGGAAAGCATCTACAACTTGTTTGAATGATAACGTAATGCTATTTGCTTGTAGAATAAATCTTTACAGGGATAATCAATAGCAGGACAATCTCTTTAATATCAATATAGTTTTATTTTAGACAATTATTTACGCTAACAGATGCTGTTTCTTCCAAAATCTATTATCAAGCATTGAAGAATATACTTCATATTTAGATGTAAATTAAATTTTGAAATAAATTACAGGGGACGACGGAGAAGTTTTTATAGTCAAGAAATCGTCCAGGAGCAAAAAGCTGATGAAACAGCTAGATCACGAAAGGAGAAAAAAGAAAGGTGAAGAGAAAATGCAAGTGGACACTGAGCAAGCAAATAAATCCATTAAGCAGGAAAAAGATTTAGAAATAAAGACAGATGATCTAGTAGTAAGCTATCTCTATGATGTTTTATTATTATTAGCGTTTCTTCAATTTAAGTAATTTATCATTTAACATAGAGGATTTTTTATGTCTCTCCATGATACATTGACTAATGTTTCAAGATTTGGAACAACTGGGAGTACAACAAGGAGACAATATATAAATGTTTTTTGTATAATTAGAATATTACTTCATCTATAATGATTTTTATTTTATCAGTTATGTGTGTCCAAAAATAAATAATGTTTAAATTATAAATATATAAAGTTCCAAGGATTTCTTAACTTATTTGAAATCTAGTTTATTATTTCTCTTTAGTGTGTACATGCTCAAATCAACTTGTAAGCTTTTTATTACAACTTAATGATTCTTACTGAATATATTTGTATTTTTTTGTTAGGTTAGGAAAAATATACTCTGATATTTTAATTTTAAAATATTGTATATTAGAATAAATTGAAGATCTTAAAGAATTCATTGGCTCGTAGCCCTGTTTCTCTTTATTAGTTTTAAAATATTGTATTTGAAAATTTATGAATATTCTTCTTGTAAAAATTTTGAATTTCTCTCTTTGAAATTAAATATTTTTATTAAACAAAACATAATCTTTATTGCTAGGTTAAAATAAAAAACACAGGACCTCTGATTTTAAACGGACGAGCTGCATTGGCAGCAGGAAAAGATGACTATACATCGGGTGAGGAGGAAGATGAACCTTGCAGTCACAAATTTCGAAAAAATACAGATAAAGCTGAAACTGTAAAAATACTTCTTGAGAGTACGTAATTCATATGATGCGTATAAGTTATGATGTTTCTATATCTTACTAGAATTTAATATAATTAATAGAATTGCTGTATATGTATATATTTAATAATGTCTTTGACAAAACAAATGAAAAATAAAGTATTAGATTTTGTTATTACACTTAAGCAGCATTACAAAACATATATTATGAAACTTATTTAACATTTAAAAATTAATATATTTTTAAGTTATCTCTTTATAATATTTTCTTAATATATCAACTAGGTGGATGTATACCTGATGCAGCTATGATTCATGCAGCAAGAAAACGCAGACAAAAAGCAAGAGAATTAGGAACCGATTACATTCCTATTGAAGAGCAAAGGTAGCAATTCATCCTTAATAATATTATATAATGGATGTTAATTTTCTGTTATAACAATTAATATAATTATTAATATAAATTGGATTATTTTAATATAGTTACAATGATATTATAATAAATCTGTTTTATTATAGTGATGACAAGGGCAAATCAAGACTAATACGAGAGGAAGATCATGATCGAAGTGACGATGATGATTCTCAAGATCGATTAGATATGACTGTCAACACTGAAGCACGTGATAAAGAAAAGAGGAGAGAAGCATTTCTTGCTTCTCAAGTTCCATTAAAATGTGAATTTTTATATATAATAATTAACTATAAATGTAGCTAGTTGATTTTAAGATATTTAAATAACAAAAGGTAACACAAATTTTGAATATATTTTTTAATTTAGTTTCAGATAATGAAAGTGAGCACGAAAACGAAGAAGAAGAATGGGAAGCTCAACAAATACGAAAAGGTGTAA